ACTACCCAACACTTGGAACACACGACAACTGCGTCGACCTCTGCACCACTTTTGCCGAGACGCTCGTCAAAAACCTCAGCAACAGGTTTGCAGACTTGGACTCCCTTGTGGGAGTGAGGCTCTTCATGCCAGACGAGTACAGCACGGCGGGGAGAACGGAGCGCCACAAACAGTGTCTCGAGTGGCTCATGTCACTCGTCTCGCTGTTCAGGGCACAGGAGAGTGATCACATCCTTCCAGGTACACGCTTACTCTAAACCCGTGTTGTCCATTATGTCTCTTTGATAATATGGTTCAGCAGTGCTTTCTGTACACGGGTATACCATGCCACGCCATCCAAGCTAACTGACAACCCCCCTTCTGTGTTGTGTGGCAGGGATCGACAAACGGCGGGCGATCAAAGAACTGCGTGCCTTCTGCCCCATCCTCGCAGGTGCCCCGAAGAACGAGCGAAGCTTCCACGCCGGTCTAACAGCGATGCTGAAGACAAGTGACTGGACGACTAGCTACCCCAACCTCGTGCATCTCTGGGTGGCAGTCGCAGTGCTTCCGCTGAGCACAGTGGAATGTGAGCGCGGGTTTTCCCGCCAGAATATCATCAAGTCATGGCAGCGTGGGAGCCTCAGCTTGAAGATCTCGTCACAATGTCGCTCCTCGACTACGAGCCCGACTACAACGAACTGGTGAACATCTGGCGCAGCTACAAGAAGCGCCGGCCATTTGGAAATGTGGCAGCAGCAGCAGCAGCAGCAGCAACACCTGCAGCAAGAGAGGGGGAGGGAAGTGGCAGGGGAAAGGAGGCACTTGAGGAGTGGGAAGAACCCAAGGTGCAGGGGAGTGATGATGAAGACTTTGATTCCGATGCTGAAGGACGCATGACCCCTATTAGATAAGAGCAGCTAGTCTGTTCTAGGTAGGAAGGAAGCTACTGTCTTCCTGTGCTTAAAACCAGGACGTTTAATAGCTACAGCTTTTTTAATTTTGAAACCCTGATGGATCAGACTCTAAATTAGGACAACACTGTCATTTCAGCCTTTTTTTCTTGGTAACACTGTCAATCAGTGTTTACACACAAGGGGACACTGATAGGTATACGACCCTTAAAGTGAATCTGAGGGCCTGGTTTCCATCATGCTCATCCCACTCTCTTAGATCGCACCCGAGATGGAAATAAAAGAACGGGAGTTGCGACTAGCATGCTACCACAAGTTGTGTCTCGTTAAGAACTTGAATGGGCTTTAGGTGTTGGGAGTTAAAGACGGAATTCGTGTGTGAAAAAAAAAAAAAAAAAGTACCTATTTAACCAAAATGACGGACACACCCTCCCGCTACTACCAACTCAGCCCATACACCCACGTTGTAGATAGCCCCGAACCTCAAACTGTTGGAAGCGTAGAGTACAGCAGAGCATATGGTAAATCCCAAGATAAAAGTTGTACCGTCCATTGGGTGTGTAGACCTTGGTTGGGAACCACCAATTGCAACCACTATTCTACTGAATCAACAAACACGCACATCTACACTAACAGAACGCAACCTTCACTCACACAACATTTCGAACGCCATCGACATAGAGATCGCGATTACCAACGCCACCTCTCTCGGCACTTCGTCAAGGCCATCAATCGCAACTACACTCGCCACGTCTTCAACACCCCAACTGCACATGTCTCAGAAGACCCAATTGTAATGAAGCCCGTTGCCTTTGCAAGAACAGAAAGCAAGCTTTCTCAATATGAATTTTTTCGTAAGTGTGTAACACTTTCTAAAAATGCGTATTTTGAAAGCGCAGCTGACTGTCACGAAGCAAAGCAACGGCGAATTACAATTCGCCGAGTACATAACGAGGGTTGGAGGCCATTCGGCCTCCACCCGCGACTTCATTTCGGAACTTTGCAGTTCCACTCCCCACCCACCCACCTGTCAAATGTTGTAGCCTGTAGTGAGGTTTGTCTTAGGGGGTACAGAAGTTAGGGTTTGTCATATGTACCTCAACCAACATCAATGCAACACTCATTCCTCATACTGACATGGTATCAGCTAGGTTAGGATCCTGTGGGATCCCGTTCCTCCGTTCTCCGTTCGTACCTCCCGAGCCTGATCCTACCTCTCGTTCGTACCAGTTTCGTAGTTACCGCGCCTAGTACCGAGCCTAGCGTCATCTCCCCCGTCGCGTCACGCCTGTTCCCCCCCCGTCGCGTCACGCCCGTTCCCCCTGTCGCGTCGCGCCCGTTCCCCCCCGTCGCGTCGCGCCCGTTCCCCCCGTCGCGTCGCGCCTGCCTGTTACCCCCCCCCGTCCCGTCGCCCTGTCCCGTCACGTCGCCCTGTCCCGTCGCCCTGTCCCGTCGCCCTGTCCCGTCACATCGCCCTGTCCCGTCGCCCTGTCCCGTCGCCCTGTCCCGTCGCCCTGTCCCGTCGCCCTGTCCCGTCGCGTCGCCCTGTCCCGTCGCGTCGCCCTGCCCTGTCCCGTCGCGTCGCCCTGCCCTGTCCCGTCGCCCTGTCCCGTCGCGTCGCCCTACCCCGTCGCGTCGCCCTGCCCTGTCCCGTCGCCCTGCTCCGTCGCGCCGCCCTGCCCCGTCGCGTCGCCCTGTCCCGTCGCGTCGCCCTGCCCCGTCGCGTCGCCCTGACCTTTCCCCCGTCGCGTCGCCCTCCCTAGGCCCTGGCCTGTCGCCCTTCCTAGGCCCTGGCCCGTCGCCCTACCCTAGGCCCTGGCCCGTTGCCCTACCCTACGTCTTGGCCCGTCGTCCTAGCCCACTCTTCCGCTGCGACTGAGTCCTCTTCCCCCCCCGGTTGTTACTCGCCTGTTCGTTCTCACTATGGCGACTCCGCGAGTTCTTCGTTTCGACGCCGACGGTAGACCCCTTGACTTTTCCGTCTGGCTTCTTCGCGCTCGTCGTCTGTTAGAGAGTCAGGTCCAGGGGGGCGAGACCCTCTGGTCACACGCTACTGGTGACCTCCCCGAGCCCCCCGAGCCTACAGCTTTAGGCCCTGCTCCTGACGATGCTGCTACGGCTCGCTTTGCCCGTCAGCGCGCTGACCGGACGGCTTGGACGTCGCGTGACGCTGCGGCCTGCATCGCACTCAGCAGCCTCCTCCCTGAGTCCGAGGAGGTCCACTTTACTCAGGTTCGCACCGCTGCTGCGTACCTCACTGCGATTAAGGCCCGCTACTCTACTCCCGCTACTGTCTCTCTCGGCCGTCTTTTCCTCCCGTTCCTGTTTCCTGATCTTGCCTCGTTTGAGCGCTCTGCTGACTTGATCGCTCACCTCCGCTCGCTTGACGCTAGTTACCGCGCTGCTTGCACTGAGGCACAGCTTGCACTGCTTCCTCCCCCCATGGCGATTACTGTCTATTTCATCGCCACTAGCCTCCCTGACCGCCTTGCCTCCGTTCGTGACGCGCTTCTGCTGAAGCACCCTAGTGAGCTGACTATCGAGGTCCTTGAGTCTGCACTCAAGGATGTCGAGAGCAACCTTCGTTCGGTAGCTGCCGCCTCTGGTACTGTATCCCCCCCACTCTTCCACGGGTGCACAGTCCCGCAGTTACCCACCTTCACTGCCTCTCTTGCCACTGCCGCTACTGACGCGACTGCGGCTGCTGTTACGACTGCGTCGCGGTCCCGCGGCAGGGGGGGCAAGAAAGGTGGTTCCGGTGGAGGTGGAGGCGGAGGTAGCGGAGGTAGTGGGGGTGCTGTTGCGACTGGCGGTGGTGGGAGTGCAGCGTCTGGAGAGACCCCTCGTGCAGCGGCCGGTGACTCCACTGCACCTGCTGGTGGCAGCGACCCTCGAGCTCGTCAGTCGCCTCCTGTACTGTCGGCCCCGCTAGGTGGAGCAGCGGCGTGGTACCAGGCTCAGCGTCAGCAGCACCTTCAGCAGCAGCAGCAGCCCCTTTCCTCCCAGCAGCCTCAGCAGCAGCAGCGTCAGCAGCTGGCTCCGGGGTCGGGGCTGCGTCAGCCCCAGCGCGGTGCTGCTTACCCTCCCTGCCCCTACCAGGTTCAGACAGGTCCTCGTCGGGGCCACCCTTGTGGCCGCTTTCACCCCCCTGGTCAGTGCTTTGCTCAGCTCACTGACACGGTCCGGTTGACCTACGGGGTTGGCGGTCCTGCTCCTGACTGGCTTCCTCTGGTTCAGCGCTACGGCTCCACTCTGTGGGGCATGTCTGCTGAGCAGTTAGTTGATCTGATTAGTGCTCCTCATGCTATGTATGCTGTTGTTGACTCTAGTGTTTCTGACTCTGTTTACTCTGGTGTTGTTAGCTTAGGTGCTAGTCTTGCTGAGTTGCCTGTTGCTAGTGTAGGTACTTGTGTAGACTCTAGACCAGCGACTACCTCAGAGGACGCTTCGCTGTCGTTCACACTGGACTCTGGAGCCTCCCACTGCTTCTTTCGGGACAGCACGACACTTACACCACTTCCTGCGCCTGTTTCTGTAGCGTTGGCTGATCCCACTACGGGACCAGTCACTGCACGTCACACTACCACTTTACCGTGTCCTGCTGCTCCCTCCGGGTCTCTCACTGGGTTTCACGTCCCCTCGTTCTCCCGGAACTTGGTGGGCGTGCGACCCCTCGTGAGCCAGCACGTGGGTGTGTGGTTTGAGCCTTCTGGAGAGACTGCGGTGTGTGTTGACGGAGACTCTTACCAGCCTCTTGCTACCTTTACTGCTGAGCCGGGCTCGGGTCTCTACACTCTTCACACTGGCCCGCGTGCGCCGCAGCAGCAGCCGCAGCAGCAGCAGCAGCCGCAGCCGCAGCAGCAGCAGCAGCAGCAGCAGCACCAGCGGCCGCACCAGCAGCCCCCCCTACTGCCACTGCCCCCGGTTCCCCCCCCCGTTCGGGTCCCCGCGTCTCACCAGGTTGCTACGTCCCCCCAGGTGTCTGTGTCGTGTCAGGTTCCTCCGTCTGTTCCAGTCGCTGCGTCGTGCTCCTGCCGGTCGCTTGCCCACCCCACCGTTCTGTGGCACCACCGGATGGGGCTCCCGTCCCTTCCACGTCTGCGCGCTATGTCTAGTCAGCGTCTTGTCCTAGGCCTCCCACGTGTCTTGCCGTCGCTGCCGCCTTCGCCTGCGCCGCCGTGTCGTCCCTGCGTCGAGGGTAGGCTGCGCGCCACCCCTCACTCCTCCTCCCTTCGTCCGGCCACCGAGCCTTTTGAGACGCTTCACTTGGACGTCTGGGGCCCAGCCCCTCGTCTAGGCCCTGAGCGTGAGCGTTACTTTCTGGTGGTCGTTGACGACTTCTCCCGCTACACCACAGTGTTCCCTCTGGCGAAGAAGTCTGAGGTGACTTCTACGCTGATCAGGTGGTTGCTCACCACCGAGGACACTCGTGGTCGTCGTGTCAGCTGTCTCCACTCCGACCGTGGGGGTGAGTTTCGCTCCGGCATTCTCGCTGGATTCTGTCGCGAGCAGGGCATTCGTCAGTCCTGGACGCTTCCAGAGTCCCCACAGCAGAATGGGGTTGCTGAGCGCCGCATAGGCCTGGTCATGGAGATCGCCCGCACCTCCCTGACTCACGCCTGTGCCCCCCATTTTCTGTGGCCCTACGCGGTCAGGTACGCCGCGCACCAGCTGAACCTCTGGCCACGTGTCTCTCGACCAGAGGTTTCACCGACCAGTCTTTGGACAGGGTTCCCTGGTGTTGCGTCGCGGTTTCGTGTCTGGGAGTGCTTGGCTCTTGTCCGCGACACCTCCGCGGACAAGCTCTCGCCTCGTGCCGTCCCCTGTGTCTTCCTTGGTTTCCCTGAGGACTCCTCTGACTTCACCTTTTACCACCCTCCCTCTCACCGGTTCTTTGACTCCCGTGACGTCCGTTTCGAGGAGTCCACTCCGTACTACGTCAGGTACCCCAGTCGAGGTCTCCCGGTTCCTCCTCCCCCCCTCTTCCTGACTGCCGTTCCCCCTCCTGCTCCCCCGGTACAGCCTCCCCCCCCTGGTCCAGCCCCGTCAGGTGTGTCCCAGGCTACCCCTCCTCCTTCGGTAGCCCCTCCGGTACAGCCTCCCTCCCCACAGTCCTCCTCGCAGCGTGCCGCTGGTGCTAGCTCTCGAGAGGTTGGTGCGACGCCTGTTCCTGTACCGGTTTCTGGTTCTGGGGGTGCTGGAGTTAGAGCTGGAGTTGGAGCTGGAGTTGGAGCTGGAGTTTCTGGTTCTGGAGTTGGAGCTGACCAGGTGGGTGCAGAGGACGCTTGTCGTCCGGGAGCTGGTGCTGGCCGCGCGGACACTGGGGGTGCTGCGTCTGGGGGTGAGGGTGCGCCTCCTTTGGGTTCAGGTGAGCCTGGGTCTGGAGCTGGTGTTAGTGCTGCCTCTGGGGGTGGTGAGCCTAGTTCTTCTGGAGTGGACTCTGGAGCTGCCGCTGCTTCGGACACTACTCCGCCCCCCCACCCCTACCCGACTAGGCACCAGGCTCGTGTTCGCCGTGCCCGTGACGATCAGCTGGCGTTGGAGAGAGAGGAGAGGGAGTTACAGCGGCTGGAGGAGCAGCAGCAGCAGCTGGACCCGCAGGAGCAGCAGTCCCAGCAGCAGCCGCGTCCGCAGCAGCAGCAGTCGCAGCCGCAGCAGCAGCAGCAGCCACTTCCTCCTCCTGTCTCGGGTCTTCGGATCCTTGGTCTCCCCTCCCCTTCTCCTCCCTCCTCCGCCTCTCCTCCTGTCTACGGTCCCACGTTTCCTCCTCCTGACTCCTCCCCCGCTGTTTTCCCCAGTTCTCCGCCCTTGTCCTCTTCTCCTCCGTCTCGTTCTTGGGCTACTCGTCGCTCCCCTCGTGCTCGTCCCTCGTCTCCTGTTCCCTTCACTGACCTTCGTACTGCCTTCCTTCTTTCTAGTCCACCTCGTCCGTCTCAGTCTGTGCTTCCGTCTCCTCCTGAGTCGGCCCTCACTGTGTCGCTCCCTACTCCTGTCACTGACTACTACCGCACGTACCGTCCTGTTCTCTCTCGTGTTCTCGCCTCTCTTGTTACTCACCCTCGTGCCTCTGTGTCCTCTGTGTCCGCTCTTACTGCCGCAGTTACTGACTTTGCCTCTGCCCGCCGCCTTGACTACGCCACCACGCTTGTGGCTGCTCCTCCTACCAGTCCTCTGGCCGTCGGGGGTGTGTCTGCCCTTGGCCGTGACGCCCTAGAGGACAGGCAGTTTGAGCTAGAGTTCCTGGCGGCCGCTTCCCCTCATCTCTGTGCCATGCTCCTCGCCCCTGAGGGTGACCCCGACGCCCTTGACATTCCGACTCCTCGCACTTACGCTGAGGCAGTGTCAGGGCCTTGGGCCTCTCAGTGGAGAGCTGCCATGGACGCAGAGATGGCCTCCTACAGATCCACAGGCACCTACGTCGATGAGGTTCCCCCCCCGGGGGCGAACGTAGTCGACGGCATGTGGATCTACAGGGTGAAGCGGCCACCGGGATCTCCCCCGGTCTTCAAGGCGCGCTACGTGGCTAGAGGTTTCAGTCAGCGCGAGGGAGTTGACTTCTTTCAGACCTTCGCACCTACCCCGAAGATGACCACTCTTCGGGTGTTACTACACGTAGCAGCACAGAGAGACTACGAGTTACACTCTCTTGACTTCTCCACTGCTTTCCTTCAGGGCAGCCTACACGAGGAGGTCTGGTTGCGTCGTCCCTCGGCCTTCACTGGCACCTTCCCTCCTGGGACCCAGTGGAGGCTGAGGCGACCTGTTTACGGTCTTCGCCAGGCCCCTCGTGAGTGGCACGACACTCTGCGTTCTACCCTCTCTGACCTTGGGTTCCAGCCGTCTTCTGCCGACCCGTCGCTGTTCGTTCGTCGTGGCTCCACACCGTTCTTTGTTCTGGTTTACGTCGACGACCTCGTTTTCGCCACTCCGGACAGGGTTGCTTTGGCAGACGTGAAGTCCGAACTGCAGAAGAGACACACGTGCACTGATCTTGGTGAACTGCGCCACTACCTTGGCCTGCAGATCACCAGGGACAGAGCCGCTCGCACCATTACACTCTCACAGTCACACATGGTGCAGCAGGTCCTTCAGCGGTTCGGGCTTCAGCACTCCACCGTACAGCGCACACCTCTAGCTGTTGACCACAGACTCACTGGTCCCTTTCCTGACGAGCCGTTTGAGCCTAGTGGTCCCTACGCAGAGCTTGTGGGTTGCCTCATGTACCTGATGACTTGTACTCGCCCGGACCTCGCCTTCCCTCTCAGCATCCTTGCGCGCTTTGTTGCGCCAGGGAGACACCGTCCTGTTCACTGGACGGCAGCTGTGAGGGTGGCGAAGTACCTAGCGACTACATCAGGCGTGGGGCTAGTTCTTGGAGGGCAGCAGTCTGTCGTACTCACTGGTCACTGTGACTCCTCTTACGCTGACGACGCTGAGACTCACAGGTCTACTCAGGGGTACTGTTTCAGTCTGGGTTCTGGAGCTGTTTCCTGGCGTTCCACGCGCTCCTCTTCTGTCTCGACCTCTACAGCTGAGGCTGAGATTTACGCTGGTGCCATGGCGGCACAGGAGTTGCGGTGGTTGACCTTCTTGCTCACTGACCTTGGTGAGCGGCCGAGCTCTGCACCGACCTTGTTTACTGACAACAAGGCGTCGATCCTCCTCTGTCGTGAGCCGCGACTGGAGAGCAGAGTGAAGCACATTCACATCAGGTACTTTCTTCTGCGAGAGTTGCAGAGGCGTGGACAGGCTCGCTTCGAGTTCGTAGAGTCCGAGGCCAACACTGCAGACATCTTCACCAAGGCGCTTCCGCCTTGTGACCACCAGAGGTGTTGTGTGCAGTTAGGCCTTGTTGACACAGGTTCTAGTCATGCGTAGACTTGAGTTTATTGCCTGCTTCGTCTGTACATTTACTATATATACTTGTGATCTCTTGGACTGGCCTTGTGGCCACTGTTGCTTGTGCTCAGAGTGTGTGGTGACGTTGTGATCCACCCTGAGCTTTGTTTTCTTTTGGACTGGTCTTGTGACCGTACTCTTTTTGTTTTTGCTAGACACCCCTCACTTAGGCTATGGGGGTGTGTCAAATGTTGTAGCCTGTAGTGAGGTTTGTCTTAGGGGGTACAGAAGTTAGGGTTTGTCATATGTACCCCAACCAACATCAATGCAACACTCATTCCTCATTCTGACACCACCCTAGTTGTATATCTGTATGATCCATCCATAGTTGGACGAGAATGTTGTATTACTGCAATTGTAATGAAGCCCGTTGCCAATTGTAATGAAGCCCGTTGCCTTTGCAAGAACAGAAAGCAAGCTTTCTCAATGATTATAATAACATATGCAGAACTCCCATATTATTGGATTTCATGCTTCTTTTCCTGCTTCGATATCCTCTTGAAGCCTTGCCACCGCCGCTTCCACCTCTTCCAATGAGGGAAGCAAGCGCAGGAACGGCAACGCAAGCAGAGACGAGAGATTGCACAGTAGAACAAGCAAGGCAAGGTTATGGAAATTCGTGCTTGTGACTCCAAGCATCTCCGTAAGAGCAGCCCCGAGCAACCCGCTTAGAACATACGCCCCGTTGTTGACTGACATCAAGGCGGCAAACAATGTGGCCTCGATTCCAGGAGGGCAGAGACGAGCCGCAAGCACAAGGATGGGCATGAAGGAGACCTGGTGAGGCCGATCGTGGGTGTGGGGTGGGGGGGCAGACAGAGGGGGGAGGGAGAGAGAAGGATGGGACGAACTTTTTTCTGTAGGAATAACAAGGATCTTTTGACAGAGTGTGGGAAAGGACTGCTGGATAGATTCACACGAAAAAGGCACACACAACTTCCCACCACACCGGCAGCAGCACCCAATAGCCCTGTGCCACAACCACCTGCCATAGTGCTTGCCAGACAACCTGCCACAGCACCTACCCGTACCTCATCCAGCCAGTCCAGTCCCTTGAGGGGCATGAGCTCTCACGCAATGTAAGCATTGGCCCTCATGCACCTGGCCGAGGACAGTGAGTCTGCTTTTGAGTCGACTCAAAAGCACCCTGACGCACCTGGCCGAGGACAGTGAGGATGAGGCTGTCCCCCAGGGCAAAGTAGTGGTCGCTGATGCCCAGCGTGCGATTCACTCCCGTCACCAGCAGCAACTGCCGCCCTCAGACACTCACGCACACACGCACAAACCCATGCACACACACCCACACACACACTCACGCACACACACACACACACACGCACACAGACACACACACACACACAAACACACACACACAGACACACAAACACACACGCACACACACTCGCACGCACACACACACACACACACACACACACACACACACACACACACACACACACACACACACACACACACACACACACACACACAAATGTGAACATAGGCAGTAATGAGAGGTGGAAGTAGGAATGAGAATCAAGGGGCGTGGAAGAATGAGAGGCATTCCAAGAGGACCAGCAGAAGCACTGCAAGTCTTTCCCCCTCATCCTCTTCCCCAGCCCTTCACCAACCATCTCACCCTTCCCCCCATCCCAACAAACTTTCCCACTACTCTCACTCTCTCATGCGCCTCTCTTCACTCCCATTCCCTACTCCTCTCTCACACTTTCGCAATCTTCCCTCCCACCTCCCCTTTCCTCCCTCTCGTTATCCCATCACTGCGCGCACCTGAGTGCAGCTGCGGGCAGAACCGAGCAGGTTGCTCCAGATGAAGGTGCGCTGCAGTGGCACGTGCTTGAAACAAAGATTGTACACCCACATACCCACGACCACCAGCAACGCCACTGATGTCACCAGCCGCACAAAGAATGACCTCCTACCCCCTCAACCCCCTCCAACCCTTCTGCTACCCACAACACCTGTCCCCCGCTCCCCTCCCACCTCACCACCAGTCTCCCCACTTCCCCGCTTCCCTCCCGCTTCCCCGCTCCCAATCCCCAAACCCGATCCCCACTCCTCCCCTCCGGCCATTACCCCCAGACCCAGCACACCACGCACACCTGCGTGCAGCCGAGGGCAGTGCCGAGCAGGTTGCTCCAGAGGAAGATGCGCTGCAGTGGCACATGCTTGAGCCAGAAGTTGTACACGCCCACACCCACCAGCGACGCCACTGATGTCACCAGCCGCACCCGCCCTAGGAACTCTGGTCCAAAGCCCAGCTTGTTTGTGCTGGTGATGATGAGGGATGTGGGGCAGGTTGGGGGAGTAGAGCGAGAAAGGTGATTTTTGAGGCGCCTCAAGAAGTGATGCCACTGATTGTACAAGCCGCACCCGCCCTAGGAACTCTGGTCCAAAGCCCAGCTGGCTTGTGCTGGCGATGACGAGGGATGAGGGGGTAAGAGTTGGATGAGCGGGATCGAAAAAGTCTTGCATAACGAGCTGACATGGCAGGCAGGTGGCGCTGACATGGCAGACACAGGTGGCGCTGACAAGGCAGATCCAGGCGCAAGCAACTCACGTGAAGAAGAACATGGCGGTATCTGAGGAAGGCGTTATCTGCCAGAGGAAGATGAAGAGCGTGGGCATGAGGATGCTGGGTTGCCGGATAGTGGCCCATAGGTATAACGCCTGTGCGCGCACATCCATGGCTGGGATGGGGGATGATGCATGCGAGTGTGCGTGGGAGGGTGCGAGGGAGGAGGAGGTGCAGGAGGAGGAAGAGGAGGAGGAGGAAGGGGTGGGAGTGTTGGAGATGAGAGGGGATTCTGCAGTGGAATGGTGCTCTGCGTGGTGGTGCTGCTGCTGGGGGAATGGGTTGGTCGGTGGAGTGGGGGAAGTGGTAGAGTTGGGAGGGTAGGCGGAGGAGTAAACGCACGACTCGCTGATAGCCGGTGTGGAGTTGACTGAGAATTGCTGCAGTGGGTGCTGGTGGTGCTGCTGCTGCTGCTGATGGTGATGGTATGACTGTTGAGAATCATGCGTTGCAGTAGGATCAGAAGGTGCTGAAGCATACGGATGCAGCAGGGGCATCTGTTGCTTGTTCTCACCCATCCCCACCGCACCCCCATCTGTCGAACCCCTTGATCCCCCTCCACCTCGTTCCTTAACCGCTTCCCCAATGTCCCTTCCTCCATCCAACCCTCCCATCCCCACTCTCCCCTCCCCCACTCGTTCACTCTGACTCATGTGACCAAGCTCAATCAATACATCTCCATGGGAGGAGGATGGAGGGGGGTGAGGAGAGGCAGAAGAGGAGGAGAAAGCAGGAGAGGCGGATAGACCATGGGTGGAGAGGGGAATGAGAGGAGCGGACTCTGAAACAGAGTCCGTGGGGAAGAAGTGGGAGGAGCTTTTGGAGGAAGAGGAGGAGGGAGGGGAGGAGGAGCGAGGAGGGGAGGAGAGGGAGGTAAGCAGGTGGCTTTGGTGTTGTTGATGCTGGTGGTGTTGATGGTGCTGGTGGTGGTGCTGGTGGTGATCGTCTTCTACTGTGAAGATCCCCGCAATGGATGTGATGAGGGGGAGAACAGCAGTCACGGCAAACACAAACCTGCCGGCAACAGAAGGGGCGTGCAGCAAAGCTATTGACGGAATGAGAGATGCGGGATACTGGACTCAACAACGTTGGATAAGATCCCATGCATATAGGAACCTCTGCTCACTCACACTGCTCTTGAGAATTCTCGAAATCCCCCATGCGCACATGAGAGACTGCTTGCACAGCAGCACCCCACTCACCCTTACACTCACCGCGTCCCATCCCATCCATCACCCCCTCACTCACCGCACCCTGCTCACCCCCACTGACTCACCTCGTGCCGTACATCTCCACCAGGCTACCGCTCCAATACGCGCTCACAATCCCTCCAACCGCACTGGACCCCCAGCAGAGCGACTGCAGCGACCCAGCCATGCTCTGGTCCTCGCCCCTGGCTCGCTCCACCACGAGCGAGTCCACCACCACATCAGACACGGCGACCGAGAGCGAGGAGAGCAGGATCATGGCGACGGTGGAGTACTTGTCGTGGACTATTGTCGCGAGGAGGGCCCATGCAGAGGCACCCACGAAGCCGCAGAGAATGAGGTAGGAGCGGCGGCGGGAACCGAACAGGGGGAAGCCGTCACTGGTGGGTGTGAGGGACGGGTGAGGGGAGGGGCGGGGAGGGGAGGGGAGGGGAGAAGGGTGGGGGGGAGGGAAGGAAATGCCTGGAAAAGGGAGCGATTGGGAAGGAGATTGGTTCAAGAGAGCGAGGAGAGGAGGATTATTGCGGCGGTGGAGTACTTGTCGTGCACGAGCGTGGCCAGGAGGGCCCATGCAGAGGCGCCCACGAAGCCGCAGAGAATGAGGTAGGAGCGGCGGCGCGAGCCGAACAGGGGGGGGGGGGGGTCGCTAGGTGGGGGTTGGAAGGTGAGGGGGGAGGAGAAGCAATGAGTGGGAAAGAGGAAGTGATTGAGGATAAGAAAAAGGGAGCGACTGAGGAGAAGAGAAAGGGAGCGAATGAAGAGAAGAGAAAGGGAGTGTTTGCGAGAGGAGGATGAATGAAAGAGGAATGGTGGTCTGGACGCATGAGAAGGAGAGGGAGGAGAGAGATGGAAACCGTTTCGAGATCATGGATACTGAGGGGCATCTAGAGGAGGAAGGGGGAGGAGAATGTGTGAGGTGGTGGTGGTGTGCGGGAAAAGACTTGCAACAGGGCAGAAAGGTGGCGGTTGGAAGGTGGTGGTTGGAAGGTGCAGTAACAATGGTGCAGATGGCATGGCGCAGATGGCATGGTGCAGGTGGCATGGCGCAGATGGCATGGTGCAGGTGGCATGGCGCAGATGGCATGGCGCAGGTGGCATGGCGCACGTGGCATGGCGCACGTGGCATGGCGCAGGTGGCATGGCGCACGTGGCATGGCGCAGGTGGCATGGCGCAGGTGGCATGGCGCAGGTGGCATGGAGCAGGTGGCATGGCGCAGGTGGCATGGCGCAGGTGGCATGGCGCAGGTGGCATGGCGCAGGTGGCATGGCGCAGGTGGCATGGCGCAGGTGGCATGGCGCAGATGGCAAGGCGCAGGTGGCATGGCGCAGGTGGCATGGCGCAGGTGGCATGGCGCAGGTGGCATGGCGCAGGTGGCATGGCGCAGGTGGCATGGCGCAGGTGGCATGGCGCAGGTGGCATGGCGCAGGTGGCATGGCGCAGGTGGCATGGCGCAGGGCCCGTGGCATGGCGCAGGGCCCGTGGCATGGCGCAGGGCCCGTGGCATGGCGCAGGGCCCGTGGCATGGCGCAGGGCCCGTGGCATGGCGCAGGGCCCGTGGCATGGCGCAGGGCCCGGGGCATGGCGCAGGGCCCGTGGCATGGCGCAGGGCCCGTGGCATGACCCACCTGAGGAAGCCGTAGAGAGGCTTGATGAGCCATGGCAGTGTTGAGAGCCCAGACAGAAGCGCCGTCTGCAGGGAAGGGGGGACGGATAAAAGGGGGAAAGGTGGAGACGGGTAAGATGGGGTGAGAGAGGGGGCGACGGAAGAGATGGGGAGAGAATTATTTATGAAATACTAGGAAAATGGGGAGCAAAAGATACGAGCAAGAGACACGAGGAGCAGCAGCAGCAGCAGCAGCAGCAGCAGCAGCAGCAGCAGCAGCAGCAGCAGCAGCAGCAGCAGCAGCAGCAGCAGCAGCAGCAGCAGCAGCAGCAGCAGCAGCAGCAGCAGCAGCAGCGGCGGCAGCAGCGGCAGCAGCAGAAGCAGAAGCAGAAGCAGCAGCAGCACACGCATACCTCAGCAGGGTCGAGCCCGAACTCATCCTTGAGAAAGAAGCTGACAGCCAGGCGGGCGAGCCCCAGAACGCCCTGCACAATATTTGAGACGACTCAAAAATCAGCAACAACTGCACATGCGCACCTCAGCAGGGTCGAGCCCAAACTCGTCCTTGAGAAAGAAGCTGACAGCCAGGCGGGCAAGCCCCAGCACGCCCTGCACAAAGTACACCAGCGCTATCGCCACTATGTCCGCTGTCAACGGCAGGCCCAGCCCCGGCATCATCCACTGCTGCTTCCTCCTCCCTCCACCACTCCTTCCCTCTCCCTCCACCCCTCCTCCTTCCCCTCCTCCTCCTCCTCCGCTGTTGCCGCTGAAGATGATGAAACTGCTGCTGCTGCCGCTGCTCCTGCCGCTGCCTCGGCTCCTGGTGCTGCCGCTGCTGCTGTTGCTGCTGCTGCATGCACTGCCGGTAGTGGTCCCATGGTTCGTCGTCCCACTGTTGATGCTCCCATCCAGGCTACTCTCTGCATGCCATCCCCACCACCCCCATCTCCCCAACCCCCTCCTCCATGCCTGCCTCAGCCGCCGCAGCAACCTCCCTCCTCCTGCTCCGTTTCCTCTACCGCGCACCACCCGCCCCCTGGCCCTTCCCCCCGCCAGCCCCCCTGCGCCAATCCCCCTCATGTGCCCCCCTGGATGCCAATCCAAGCCCAAGGTTGATCCCAGATCAGCAACGCTCTGCTGGTACCATCGCACAGCATCAGCAGGGAGAGACCAGGGGAGGGCCCAGGGAGAGAGCCATGCACCTCGATGCGCCCATGCCCATGGCCATGCACGTGATTGTGACTGTGGATGGATGTTGTTGGCATGTGTATGGGTGATGATGCCACGTGAATGTGTCTCGTGCGCATGGGTGGTGGTGCTGCTGCAGTTGCTGCTGCTACCAGCAGGTTCACGCACGGAGATGCAGGGCTCGATCTCCCATGACGACGAATGAAAGGGGTGAAGGGGAATGCTACTCGCAGAAACAGCAGCAGCAGCAGCAACACCACCATTACCATTACCACTAGCACCGCTCCCCGTCTCTGGGATCCATGGCCTCAATGAGCTGTTATGGGCGGCTGGTACAGGACATACAGCAGCAGTTGCCAGCGACGATTGATGGAATGGTGACGTGGCGGCGGCGTTGACGTGTGCAGGCGGGTCTACTTGGACAGAAACGGACGATGACGTGGACTGGTTTAGCGGCTGGAAGGAGGAGGGGAGAGATGCGAGTGCAGCGGCTGAAAGTGTGTGTGTGTGTAAGCAAGGGGGCGAGAGTGGTGTGGCGAGAAAGGGCAGAGAGGATGTTTGGAAAGGAGACGAAGGGTAGTTAGAAGGATGGCAGTTCCAGCCCACAGCAGGACAGTTACCCACCCAACAAGCTTCATCCACAACTAGAGAACAAACGGAGGTTTACTCCAATGCTGTCCACCAGTGATTTTGTGCCTGTACGTGAGAGAGGTTGCTTGAGTTGAAGTCTATCATCGAAACAAACGGATTTGCGAACCCTTAAAACGCGAATTCGTGACAATGAAAGCAAACAAAGCCATCTCTTGCCTCTCCACGCCTCCACCCACAATTATCCCGCCATCGGCGTACCTTCCTTCCCTTCCTCGCGCAAATCCACGGGCATCATAGCGTGAGGAGCGGCCGTATCCTCCCACCCGCAATGCACGGCGGCATCTCCGCGCTCCCGGTGAATTAACGCCTCGCGCTGCGACTGACGACCTCCGCGCTTTCCCAACCCAGCGACCTTGGCTATTTTCGCGTTGCCGTCGCTCCCGCCGCTTTTCGCGCTGCCGACGCTGCTGTTGCTGCTGTGGGTAACTGTTCCCAGGCTACCACTCATTGTGGTTAGAGAGCCAGCGAAAAGGTGAACAGCGAAAGCCCGCGATTGCGTAGCACGTGGAAGTGTGGTGAGGCGAAAGCTTGACGACAGCGAGACTTAAGATCCTCGGATTACCCGCACGGCGAATATTGGTGTACTGTGCGGTCCGTATTGCGATGTGTTTGGTGCACAATAAATTCCAAGAAACTGCCTGCCGTCTCTTGAAACTGCCGAATAAATTAGCTCTGAAGTTTAGGGTTAAGGGAGCAAATGGAAGTTATTGACTACCTCGTTAACCATCTTCGTGAACAATTTGTTTAGGTTTCGTATGATCGGAACCATGATTATTTCTCTGAAACCTTGTACAAGATAATAAGGCCACGTGTGCCCATAAAGCTTGCCTCCGTGGAGTGCAAATGTGCCTCCGTGGCTCCCAGCAAAATCTGACGTCACACCCTGCGAGGCGGACATCAGTGACAGTAATCTTGGAACAGAATCAGCCCAGCGAATAGGATCATCGGGCCCTTCCAGTGTTGACGTATGCGCAAGCCGACCGGAAGACAGCTCCCCCGCCAGTACAATCTCAAGGCAAGAGGGGAAATCCTCATCTCTTCACGCAAGCTGCTGCCGCCCTCCCGCTTCCCCGCACTCTCCCCTTGTCTGCCTTTCGCCCGCCCTATGGTGGCCCTCCCCCACTTCTTTCCCTATCCCACCCGCAAGCCTTCCGCGCAAGGTATTTGCGAACTCCCCCCCTGCGCCCATCCCCCTTGTGTTCCCTGTCTTGAAATTCCGCGCACACCTTGTCATTCCAATTTTCCCTCAACCAAGCCTCTCTCCCCTAAACGGCTAGGCGAATTCTTCAATTCGCCATTTTCACCGCGCCTCCTATCTCTACGCATCAGTTCTCTCGGCCTCCATTCTCCGTTATTCGAATTGCCCTAGCATTCGAATATGGCCTCAGCCGTCTCGACCTCGCAGGTCCTGTCCGTCGGCAAGCTCGCTGCGGCTGACGTGAGCAGCGCGAACCAGGCGTTCCAGGGAGTGAAGCTCTGCCCCGCGCAGAAGATGAGCAGCAAGAAGGACGCTGGCCGCCTTGAGTGCAAGGCCGTCGCAACCGAGAAGACCTTCGTGACCACCAAGTCCGAGGAGATCTTCAAGGCCGCCAAGGTCCGTCAACATGATCGAGTTTTCTAAATCGGATAATCTCGTCACGGGGGCTTCCTCTTCCAATTCTTCTCACTGAACCGATCACACGAGAAATTGTCAAATTTGATTTTTTTTTTCCGCTGATTATCGTCAATTCTCTCCTTAACCACTAAATGCCTTTTGTGTTCCCAATTACCTGGATTGTTCATGGCGATGCGTGTGCAGGAGCTGTTGCCCGGCGGTGTGAACTCGCCCGTGCGCGCGTTCAAGTCCGTGGGCGGACAGCCCATTGTGTTCGACCGCGTGAAGGGCTCGCACGCGTGGGACGTGGACGGCAACGAGTATGTGGACTATGTCGGCACGTGGGGCCCTGCCATCATCGGCCACGCCGACGACGAGGTAAGATTGGCCTTGAACGAAGAGAGGATGTGTCGCCGTAGAACTGAATCATATCTCTTTACCGTTCTTTTTTTAGGCGTGGTTTTCACTCCTACCTCCCGAATGTAGCAATTTGAGAAAATTCGGTACCTTACTCGGGCTAGTTCACTTGCAGAGCATGTTTCTCGTGCGTAACAATGCATCACAATTCGCCATCCAGTCAGGTCAGTGCCGATTCGTGAGTCGCCGCTCTCCTCTTGTCATCGCGCCTCTATCCTCCTCCGCTTTCCCGCCATCAGGTGAATGCTGCCCTCGTGGAGGCTCTGAAGAAGGGCACGAGCTTCGGCGCGCCGTGCGTGCTGGAGAACGAGCTCGCGGAGATGGTGATCGCCGCCGTGCCCAGCATCGAGATGGTGCGCTTCGTCAACTCCGGCACTGAGGCCTGCATGGGCATGCTCCGCCTCGCGCGCGCCTTCACCGGCCGCGACAAGATCATTAAGTTCGACGGCTGCTACCACGGCCACGCCGACAGCTTCCTCGTCCAGGTACGCCATCGTTCTCTGTTGGATCGTACCGACCTTGACCTTGGTGTGTGATGTTAGCTGCGCTTAGGGTTTTCTGTCCTGTGCATCTCGTTAACGGTATGGACTAACCGGATATGGATGCCCTGTACTTTTTAGCATCCCCAAATGCTTTTGAAGTGTGGACTCTGCAACTTACGATGCCTATGTTGAAACGAATTTCCGTCATTCTCGACTTCCCACATTTGTAGACTGTTTATAAAGTGCAACGGAAATTAACTTCTGTGATTCTTATATCTTTCGTTTTTGTCCTTCGCTCCCCGCCAGGCCGGCAGTGGTGTCGCCACCCTGGGCCTGCCCGACTCTCCCGGTGTTCCCAAGACCGCCACCGCTCCCACGCTCGTTGCTCCCTACAACGACCTGGACGCCGTGAAGAAGGTACGCCGAATGCCGCTCGTGTGTGCTGCTGGTGCTGCTGCTGCTGGTGGTGCTGTTAATGATGTGTGAGAGTCAAATATATTTAACTGTGGTTCACACGATTTTTTACTTTTTCCAAATCATTCTCCCTTCGCGGAGTTACGGCCCTCGGCTAGCCTGGAAAACTCTGCCGCCCTTATAATCCAAATCGGCATGTCCCGAATGCTGTCTGTCTCACCTTTGATTCGTATTGACACTCCCTCGCCTCCCACTCGGCGCGTGCAGCTGTTCGCGGACAACAAGGGCGAGATCGCGGCCGTCGTGCTGGAGCCCGTCGTCGGGAACTCCGGCTTCATTGTCCCCAAGAAGTGAGTCGTCGCTTTCGAGAGAGCGCGCGTTGTCAGGCAGCATGCAGCATGAAGCATGCAGTGCCCTTGACTGGCGTAACTGCTCATGTCCGCTCCCCCTGCCATCTATCACTCCCGCCTACGCATAACAGTTCCGTATTTCACGCTGATGCACTGCATCGGTACCAGTGTCCATACCGTACCCCCTCGTATCAATCGACTAACCATACTGTGCTCTCCATCCGCGGTGCCATGTCTGATCGCGGCAGGGAGTTCCTGGAGGGGCTGCGCCAGATCACCAAGGACGAGGGCGCGCTGCTGGTGTTCGACGAGGTCATGACGGGCTTCCGCATCGCCTATGGTGGCGCGCAGGAGTACTGGGGCATCACGCCCGACATCACCACCCTCGGCAAGATCATTGGGTGCGCTTGTTTGCTTGCTTGCGTCTGCTTGTCTTTCCTTCTTAACGATCACTTGAACGATCACGTTTCCCGACATCACCACCCTCCCTTGTCTCCTCTCTCCACTCCCTGTAGCCTATCTTTGGCCCCTCTAGTTCCGCTTTCCTTTTCTCTAGTTTTTTTTCCGCGGATTCAGTGCTGC